CCCCCAATTATATGTTGAAGTGCTAACTTCCAGTACCTCAGATGTGGCTGTATCTAAAGACGGAGTCATTAAAGAGGTAATTAAGTTAAAATCAGGTCACTAGAGTGGGCCCTAATCCATTGACTGGTGTCCTTATAGGAGATCACAACACAGGCACGCAGGCAAGGAAGACTATGTGAAGGCAGGGGGAAGACGACCTTCTACACGCCAAGAAAAGAGGCCCAGAAGAAACCAGTCCTGTCGACAGCTGATCTTGGACTTTCCAGCCTCAGACCTGTGATGAAAATAATTTCTATTGTTTAAGCACCAGTCTGTGGTAATTTGGTAAGGCAGCCCTAGCAAACTGATTCAGAAACCTAATAAAGTTTTCAATTTGTGTGTTTTCAGGAAGAGCTTCCATTTCCAAGGTGGACTTTCTTCCTTTTATGAAGGAGGTCCCACACTGTGCAACTCTGTCCACAGAGTGGTTTGTTTGTTGAGGTGGTGGTTTGTTTCGCCCCGTTTACCGGCTTTCATGCTCTGTAACTCACCTCCCCTGAACTGACTTGTGCTATTAGACCAGTAGACTGAACAATGAGACTCCAATAGTACAAGCACTTACATGGAGTTGTGAGATGATTCAAGGGTTCTTGTGCTTTTAGAAAGGGTTCCTAATTCTTGGAAGTAGAAAGGAGATTTCGTTGATTACATATTTACTTTTTTTTTTTTTTTAATATATTTTTATTGATTTCAGAGAGAGGAAGGGAGAGGGAGAGAGAGATAGAAACATCAATGATGAGAGAGTCATTGATCAAGCCCGCAACCCAGGCATGTGCCCTGACTGGGAATCGAACCCTGATCGCCTGGATCCTAGGTCGATGTTCAACCGCTGAGCCACGCCTGGCTGGGCACATTTACTTATTTTTAATGTTATTTTCACTAACCAGCCTCCTTGGTTAAAAAAGTGATTATAAAAGGCACCACAGAAGACCCTGGTCTAATTCGATCTGTGAGATTCCATTGTACTGAAATGGCAAATCAGAATTGAATTGCAACTCAGAAATACCCAGGTCCTGAACTTGGCATCACAATACATTAGCATTGACCTTAGCCTCTTGGCTGCTTGGTTTCATGACAGCAGGAAATAAAAGAATAATAAAATGTGACCTGCTCACACCCCAGAGTTGTGGTGACCTTCAGTGTAAGTAGGAGCACCTTGTAAACTAAAGCCCATAACAAGGATTCTTGTCTACAGCCAGAAGTGGGGATCGACCCTTTCAGAGAAGATGGTGGCCTTTTTAAGAAAAACAGACATATCCTGTTGATTTGTCTTTTTAAAAAAGTGATGCTACAGTAATTGTACCTCCTTGACATTTATAGAGTACGTTGTCATTTATAAATTACTTTGCAAGTATTCAACTGTAAAGGAAAACTTTGAAACAAAAAATGACTCGAGTAATTCTTACTTCCTCTGGGAATACAGGGAAATAAATCTCTTTACTTACAAAATAAGGACAGAAATTCTTATATGATAAAATAACCAGAAAAGTACCTTCACTTCATTGACACTTCAATTACTACTTTACAACAAAATTAAATACAGCAAACATTCAGAAAAGAAGAGAAATATAATAAATGCTCCCATTCTTTATTAGCAAAGTCCAACATCTGCTTCAGATTTCATTAAATAAATTTTGAAAATTCAAATTTAGGTGAAATCTCCTGTGTTCCTTGCAATCTCAATTCCATCTTTTTCCCCAAACATAGCCACTGTCCTGAAGTTGATTTGTATTATGCTTTGCTGTGTTTTTAAAGTTTAACTAAATATGTATATGTTCATAAATAGCACATAGCATTCATTGTTTTGCATGTTTTTAAAAACTTTGCTTAAATGCTGTTTTATTCTGCATATTACCCTGGCAATTATTTTCCTCACTGAATACTATGACTTCTGGATCTATCCATGTTGATAAATGCAAATAACAGTCATTCACTTTTATTAGTGAGTCATATTCCAATGTACATGTATTCACTCTCCCATTAGTGCACCGTTCAATTTGCTTAATTTCTTGCAATTTCCCAGGATTGTGTATTGAACCTCCTATAACATATATTTATTTGTTACACATGTGTGAGAAATGTTTCCTAGTATGTTTGGCTGCAGTTGAGCAATAGATATTCATGTTATCAAAGGTATTAGATACTGTGAAAATTCTCCTTTCATACACGTTCAAAATTCTTGGTATTATTAGACTCAGTTTTTCCAAATCATTGAGAAGTTGCAATTTTTTTTTCATATTAACATTAAATTTTATATTCTTCTCACATCTTTAGTAGCTATTCAAATTTTCTATTCTAGTAAATGGTTTTTCCTACTGTTTGTCCATTGTAGTTGGCTGAATAATGGCCCCTGGAAGATGTCCACACTCTAATAATCTCTAGAAGCTGTGAATATGCTATTTTCCATGTCAAAAGAAATTCTGCAGATGTGATTGTTAAAGATTTTGAAAGGAAGAGATTATCCCAGATTATGCAAGTGGGCCCAATGTGATTACAAAGGGTCCCTATATGAAAAAGGCAGAAGGGCCAGAGACAGAGAAGGACATGTGGTAACAGAATCACTGGTTGGAATAATGCAAGGCCATGAGCCAAGAAATGTGGGCAGCCTTTAGAAATGGGAAAAAGCAATGAAGCTCTGGAAAAAACAAAGAAA